CTTATTTTTTTTCACCTTAACATATATAGATTTGTCCTCCTGAAAGAATTAAAGATTGTGACATTTTTTTAAAAAAAAAAAGGAGGAAAGAAAAGAAAGGAATGTGTAATGATTGAAAATAAGCATTTAAAGAAAAATTAACTATATAAGCTGAGAAGTTATAGTAAAGAAATGTAGAAAGAGTCTGCATCCATAATATGTAATGGTGTTGTGCAATCTATACATTAACTTCACCTAGCAGGATAAAGCTTATTGTTGTTGTTTTGGTCCATTGCTATGCTCAATTATTAGAACTAGTGTGCTTTCCCTTGATTTTGTTACCTGTTCTGTCCTGTGTCTTTTTTCTATGTATGCCTTTTTCTGTGAAAAAACTGGCAATCTAGATTTTATGGAAAAGTATGCGTGTCTTAATGTGTGATTCTTTCAGTTGGCTGAATTAGATTAGTGTTTGCCATCAGAATTGCAGGAGCCTATTGACTGCTAAGGACAATATATCTTTGGTTCCTAAGCCTATCAAAAATGATATCAAATTGGTGCATCAAGGTAGCGAGGATTCAGTTTACGATATGAGTAGGGAGCCTTTGGTCAATTTTCACCATTATGAAAGATTGCAGCAGGAATTACTGCATGAGGTAGGCATTTATCTTTTGTATCAAGCCCATCACTATATATATTGGTATTAGAATTAGAATTTGTTGTCATTATTTAATATGTTCATTATCCTTAGGCGAGACATGTAAGTAAGAACAGTGATCTGATGACTTCCTTCTTCAAGAGTGAGAAAGCAGTTGAAAATTTCATCCGTAATGAGGAATGAGCATGGATAGGGTACTTACTCACCCAAGACTGGACAGGACCCATATAAAATGACCATACCGGGCCATTCTCTGAACTGGACGTGGGCGATGACAAATCATAGAACCAGTCAGGTTGCACCATCCTTGATCAATCCTCAAATCTCCGTGCTTGCATACTCAAAAGTAATTTCAATATGTTGCCTCTCCCATATCGCTGGCCTCCTTGGCTGCATCTAACCCCACACCTTGCGATATATGCCTCCTCTTCACTCTCACACCTCACACCCCTTGCTAGTCAGCCTTGACAGATAAATCCTTGTTTCATAAATGTTAGAATTTGGTCCCTCTAGTTCAAAGCAAGCAATATTGCCACAATGTTTTAGAACTATATAATTTTGCTGATCTGTCATATTTCCATAAACAATTTAATAGTCTATTGACTTGGAGGCCAACTTTGAGTTTGTTATTGGTGCCAGATAAATATTGTCCTAGTCAGCAAATAATTAATTTGATATTAATTTTTTCTATGAATCATATGGTGAAGGGTAAAAACTTGGACATTGTCAGAAAAATAGGAATGTTACACTTTTTAAAGTAGGGGTACCAAATTGAGATTTTTATGAAGCTACTGGGGCTGAAAGTATATTGAAGCCCAATAGATTTAACCCAAAGATATTTTTTGTTTTTACAATTATCGTAGTGAAAGTTTCTACTCGAATTATCATCATCATCATCATCATCTACTGACTAGCTAATGACAAGAAATTGGTATGTTCAATCATTAATGAATGCCATGTATAGATTGCTCCGACAGCAATAAGTCTAAAGACAACTCTGAATAAAAATGAAAACTTTGAGGATTAACTCGGCTAATGTTGTTGACATTGAGTTAGAATCTTGTTGAATTGTATATTGCCTAGTCCTTACACTTTGGACTATTTTCCATCTCGTTGCAGGTGCAGGGAGACCTGAACACTGTTGATTTTGTATTGATCTCTCGGCCACTGCAGAGTAACAGTAGTGCTGGGTTTGCTGACACTCCTCTTGTCATGTCTCATTATGCATGCCATTGCAGGCAAGTTCCATTCCAAACCTACCAAAGGCTTCTGGTTGACGTTCTGAAAGATTTCAGCCATTCATTTGTTCCTTGTTTACTTGCTTTTTTCTGAGTTTATTTTAATGTCTTGTTTTCTCTCTTGACAGTACTGCAAGCACAGGCCCTATTTCGTGGTTATTGGATGGCCCTCGAACCTTACATCATAATTTCTCGGCATCCTTTTGTGAAATAAATCTGAAGATGCATCTTCACAATTCCTCTGATGTCACTGCTTTTGTGCGCATTTCCACCTCAGATTCTGCTGTCAATGGTGGACATCTGAACATCCTAAACATGGTTCAGTCATCTTCTCCTTCTGATGATCGAGGAGGGTGGCATCATGTCACCCCAGTGAATGAAGTAAAAGTCACATCAAACGTTAGCGGGACACAACCGGAAGAGTCTCTATCATTAGGAAGTGTCTCCCCGTACATTTGGTCTGGATCAAGCTCGACCAATATCCACCTAGAGTCTATGTCCTCAGCTGAAATTCCTCTTCAGATCTGTGTGTTCTCTCCTGGTATATATGATCTGTCAAATTACGCATTGCATTGGAATCTTCTCCTGGCCGAAGGTCGGGGAGATCAAGATGAAACGAGGCAGCGGTCAGGAAAGTGCGTTGGATATACATACTACCTAACTGTGCTCCAATCCACTTGAGAAGTTGGCAAAAATGTTGTATTACTCACAGATGCTTGAATTCCATATCTGATTTGTTAATGTGGGTTGTATATTATGTTTCAGTGTATTGATAAATATGAATAGGATCAGATCAAGGGATTGTGATACGTAGGGAGAGGAAAGGGATCAAAATATTCATTCTTTGTTCAAAGAATAATTGCGGAAATATATATTTCATTGAACCGAATGATGCAGTTGGACCGATTCAATTTGATAGAACAAGTTTTGGAGTGTTCTTACTGAGACAATATTACTGCTGACATGACTCTCTCTATTAGGTTGGGCCTTGGGGTGAGGATAACTGCCAAAAATATGGCCGATTCTTTTGTTTTATTGGCATCTGGGACGCGCTTTAGACGCTTGCAATCGTAACATTTGGTTATTGGAGGGAAAGAAATCGGATTTGGATATCATGCATTCATAAAAATAAAATTAAATGTAAAAGAAGATGTAAATACATGGATAGAATTAGATAGAGGAGATATTTGGATCCTGCTTTCTAACTAATTGTACTTCGGTAAAATCAAAACCTAGCAGACTTGTTTCTCGTTTTAGTTTAAACTAACCAAAAAAAAAATCCTTCATATATTAAATTTAATGTATAAATTTGATTAATAAGTGTAGTTTCTACTTAGTATCAAAAACTTTAATTTAACCTTGATCTTCATTGAACCAGAAGCTGATAATAAGGGAGTATTTAGAAATTATTTCCCTGGTCTTCGGTCATCACCTTTATACAAGCGTGCCATAGCCCTTTTTCTTTTATTTTGAAAGGAAAAATTCTTAGATATATGTAACGTTGGCGGGAACGGCTTTCTAAAGAACAAAAGTAGATATGAAAAGAAAATTGTGCATATCATCTTCAAGGCATAAGCAATACTTTCCTTAAAGTTTAATTCATCCCCATCTATTTTAGTCTTTAAATGTAAGTTGAGTTGATGATGAATTTTTTTCAAGATATAATGAAAATCCTTGAATATCATTTGCATTATTAGGACTCAAGTCAATGAACAATAATTTTTATAAAATAATAATTTGACTTTATCTATGATGCACTTAAAGAATAAAAACAATTAATTTCAATAGTTGGATATTGTTGGATATTTCAAATTAGTGATGTGAGAAGTATTTATAAATATTGAAATGGTACTTTATAGTGGTACCTTTTTAAGTAATAATTTTTTTTTAAAAGTTATAATCGATATTGATTCATATGAACAATCTTATGTTAATTGACACACATAACTATGTTGGTTCATGAACCCATAATTTAATAATTAATATTAATCAATGATTATTTATACTAACTTTTCATATAAAGAAACATCTTTTTAATATATACGGTTTTTTTTAGAATACAATTTTTTTTATCAAGTGATACCTTTTAATTTTATAACCTTCTAAAGGTGCTTTTAAAAATTAGAGAGACATGACATTAGTGACTAAAATTCACTGTATAAACTTCCATAAAAATTTATTAATTTATGAGGACATGACTTTTCAAAAACGCATCTCTTCATTTTAGAAAATATTCCCACATGTAATTCCTATTTTCTTGGGTGGACTGTTGATTTCTTGGGTGGATTGTTGAACCACTTCCTTTAATGTCACTTCCCTATTTCAATTTATAAAATACTTTAAAATAAAATTATACATATTAATAAATCTCATTAAATATATTTTATAACCTATTTTTTAAAATAAAAATATAAACTTTTAAAAACATATTTTACCATTTTATTTGTGAAAAAATATTAAAAAAAGAATATAATGAGAAGAATAATATTTAAAAAATATTATTGATAAAATTTTATTTTTATCAAAATATTTTATATTTTATAAAGGTGCTCCTACGAAAATGTTTTATAATTTAATACTGAAGTTGTATTAACCAAGCTTGCAACAAACGAAGAATATGGCAACGTTGAAGTCCCGTATATAGATGGGGTCTCTCCATTACTTCTCATCTACATTTCCTCACTTTCCATCTCTGCCACCTTTAACTAAAATTTCAACCGTTCAAATTTAATATATTATACAACTATTATAATTTTCATTGATATACATATAAACTTTGAAATTTTGTGCAAACAGTTTAATAATAAAAATGGGGACTAAAGAGAAAAAGAAATAGAGAGAATTCACGTGAAATACAGACTTTTGTTCAAAACTCCATTAAAGTTCAAAAAATCAAATGCTAAGATCGCTATAAATTTTTTTGTTATAGAAAAGGATATACACTGTTAAAGTTGCCACCTAATACACCGCTGAACTTAAACGACCGTTTTATTTTTTTAAAAAAATTGATTTAATGAAATATAAATAAAATAGAATTTTGATGGTAAAAATAAAATTATATTTTCATCCAACAAATACCGTTGTCTCTTGTAAGCTGCAATTTTGAAATCGGTGCTCTCCTTGAAGCCGCGTGAGGAAAATTCCGGCGTATCAGGATCCATTTCCTGGAAACCAGACCTTTCAAATTATAATTTGGCGTAACAAGTTAACAGACCCACCTCTACGCGCTTTCTTCAATCTCTCTTCGCTCCCTCTGAGCAGGTATTTTCATTTGCCACGGCGTCCCGTACCTCCATTGACTTTGTTTTCCATGAACCCACCTTCCCATATCCATAAATGCTCTCTTTTCCTCCTCCTCCCTCCACTGACAGTTTCAGATCCATACCTTAGTCTTGAAGCTCTCTCCCTCGTTTTTCCTTTCTTCTGAAGATGAATGACTTGTTCTCTGGCTCCTTCTCTCGCTTCCGTGGCGTGGAATCTTCGCCGGACCATCACCAGCAGCACCATGTCATCGAGATGGGTTCCGTCGAGGTCTCCTCTGAAGGCGGCGACCTCCACAAGTTCTTCCAAGACGTAGAATCTATAAAGGACGAGCTGAAAGAGCTCCAAAGACTGAACCGGAATCTGCAGAGCTCTCACGAGCAGAACAAGACCCTTCACAATGCCAAGGCCGTCAAGGACCTTCGCTCTCAAATGGACAGCGACGTCGCTCTTGCTCTAAAGAAGGCGAAGCTCGTCAAGGTCAAATTGGAGGCACTGGAGCGATCCAACGCCGCCAGCCGGAGCCTTCCCGATTGCGGACCCGGGTCGTCGTCCGACCGGACTCGGACGTCCGTGGTGAACGGTTTGAGGAAGAACCTGAAGGACTCCATGGACAGTTTCAATGAACTCAGGCAGCGGATCTCCTCCGAGTACCGGGAGACCGTGCAACGCAGGTATTTCACGGTTACCGGCGAGAATCCCGACGACAAGACCATCGACCTCCTGATTTCTACAGGTGACATCACCTGTATTCTTTTGTTGTCGTTTGTTATAGTTCTGTACCAAAACATTGACAAAACAATTTTGGAAATGGTTATAGCACCAGTTACTTCCCTTTATAAAACCATCATTCCTTGAATCACCAACTTTTTAAATCGAAATACGCCAGAATTTGCAAAATCAATTAAATGGAGAGGTGCTTTAACTTTTTGCAGATTCTTGAAGTTACGAGCCACTTACCCATTATCTCTAATTTAACCCAAACTTTGGAGATTCTATGTAATCGACCTCAACTCGAGTTGTTACACTTGCTGTATGCAGGTGAGAGCGAGACATTCCTTCGGAAAGCCATCCAGGAGCAAGGCAGGGGAAGAATTCTGGACACCATTAATGAAATTCAAGAGAGGCACGATGCGGTGAAAGATTTGGAGAAGAATCTGCAGGAGTTGCATCAAGTGTTCGTGGACATGGCAGTACTGGTGCAGTCCCAAGGAGAGCAATTGGATGATATTGAGAGCCACGTGGCGAGAGCGAGCTCGTTTGTGAAAAGTGGGGCCCAGCAGTTACAGACAGCAAGGAAGCACCAGAAAAACACCAGGAAATGGACCTGTTACGTAATCACGCTTCTGCTCGTGATTATCTTGCTCGTGGTGCTCTTCACTGTGAGGCCATGGCAAAATAATAGCAGTAGTTCGTCAGCATCACCGCAAACACCTGCACCACCACCACCTCCTCCTGCTGCTTGAACTTACAAATTTATTAAGAGTCTATTATTAGTAATCTAGATTCCGATGCTTGTGGGATTCATTTATTTTTCCGTGAAACCAGAGTTTTTATTCTCTGGCTAGGATCGATCTGGTTGATGAGGTGGGGCTGGTAGGTAGGGTGACCTTCAACAGTTTAATTTCAATTCGAGCTAAGATAGGAGGAAGTTTAGGTGGATATGTATGGCTCTATTGATGGGTAGCTCATGGTTTTGGGTATTACATTCTTTTCCTGTAATTAACTTTATATGCAAGAGGATCAGTTGCCTGTTTATTGGCGGCTTCATGTGTATTCTCTTGGGGATGTTATTTACGCAATCTACGTTGAGTTTGAGCATGCTATATACATACTTTTTTCTTATGCTTAACGTCTCTTTCCTAAATATTGTGAGCCTAATGGCATGTGGCAAATGGTGATATATAGCAAGACTTGAGTCCATTTTCTCAGTTCTCCTTTAACGCTTCGTTTCGGTGTTAGCAGTGGTGATAGCAAGACTGAATATATATATATATATATTTTTTATCTCAATCATCACGTAACAGATAACACCCACTTCAGTAAAAGTGACGTTGTGCTGTGTTATTAGTTCATGTATTTTTTTAAGGGATCTTGACATAATAATTAAAGACAGGCTTTAAACAAAGGTGGAAAGAAAAAATAAGTTCTTTTTTTTTTTTTGATGATATGCATATAATTAATGGATGAATGTAGGAACAAATTAATTAATTGTTTTCTGGACCAAGGAGCAAATTAAACAATTGCTATATATACACAGACATAGTCCACGCGCAATGTCATTGATATCCTCCAGGAAAAAAAAAGCGAGAGTCGTCTCTTTTAGAAAGACCACTTCCTCTGAAAAAGTAATATTTCAAGCTTTCAAACATCATTTTAGGTGGAAAATACGCAAATTTCCAATTAGACGGTGTTTTCCTCAATCGAACTGTGTTCTGAATCTAGAATAGCCAAGCGAGACGTTAAAATAGTAATTTCATTTAATTTAAGATGGGATAATGTTTGGTTCAATAAAAAAAAAATGATGATGATGGTTGAGATGCCTCAAGAATAAACAAAATAAGCAACTACTATAATTGCATGCTAATGGCCAATCCATGGCTCTAAAGACACCGTCGAGTTTCAACTGAAAAGGACCCTCGAGGTTCAGTTTCAGTCCCGTTTTCTTCTGCTCGAGCGACAATTCAAGACTTCGGCAGATCTTTCGCTTTCTCCTTCAGGCAACTGAAATTATCAGCTGCATGGAAGGACAAGGATATGGTACTTGCACATACGTACCAATAGATATCATCAATCAATTACCTCGCTCCTTTTAGCCCCACATGACCATAGGAAGCTTCCTCAGCTGTTACGACAAAAAACTCCGCACCACACTGTTCATGATTTCTCCAACTTCTATTTGACTATTTCGGAGGGAGGCGCTAGCCCAGAAAACAACATTTAAATAAAGAAGGAAATTTCCTATGTACCCATTTGTCCCGTCTCTGTTTTCCGACCTTGTAAACTTGACCTGTTAATGCCCTCTCTCTTGCCTCTTGTCTCTTGCAGCATTTGAACTTGAACCGGCCTTCCATTTGACTCGTCCCCACTATTCCCACCATTTTTTAAACCCAAAGCTTAAACCAGCCTTTAAAGTCGCCCCTCCCCCACCCATTACTCCGTTCAATTTACGCTCATTCAGATTCTCTCTTCTCAACTGATCTCTTCCAAAGTTCTGCCTAATGAACGACCTGTTCTCCGGCTCCTTCTCCCGCTTCCGCGGTGAACAGGTCTCGCCGGACAACCAGCACCACGTCATCCAGATGACGGACACATCGCCGTCGAGGGACGGAGTCAACCTCGACAAATTCTTCTCGGAAGTGGAGTCCGTCAAGGAGGAGCTCAAGGAGTTGGAGAGGCTCAACCAGAGCCTCCGTGGATCCCACGAACAGAGCAAGACCCTCCACACAGCCGACACCGTCAAGGAGCTTCGGTCTCGCATGGACACCGACGTGGCCCTCGCTCTCAAGAAAGCTAAGGTCATCAAGGTCCGCCTGGAAGCACTGGACCGCTCCAACGAAGCCAACCGGATCTTGCCGGGCTGCGGACCCGGCTCTTCGTCCGACCGGACTCGGACATCCGTCGTGAGCGGGCTGAGAAAAAAGCTGAAAGACTCCATGGACAGCTTCAACAACCTGAGAGAAAAGATATCGTCGGAGTACAGGGAAACCGTGCAGCGTAGGTACTTCACAGTCACCGGCGAGAATCCCGACGACAGAACCATCGACCTGCTCATCTCGACTGGTGAGCGGTGGCCAGTGGCCACCATGCCTGCGTCTTCATTCTCAAGCTTGTGGGCATTCCAATTCTAATTATGAAATTATTAATCTGAATTATGATTTATGAAGGTGAGAGCGAAACATTCTTGAAGAAGGCGATACAAGAGCAGGGGAGGGCGAGCATAGTGGAGACGATAAAGGAGATTCAAGAGAGGAATGACGCGGTGAGGGAGATAGAAAGGAACCTGAAGGAACTGCACCAAGTGTTCATGGACATGGCGGTGTTGGTGCAGTCGCAAGGGGAACAATTGGAAGATATAGAGAGCCACATGGCTCGAGCTAATTCCTTCGTGAGGAGTGGAGTTCGCCAGCTCCATGTTGCTAAGCAGCACCAGAAAAAGTCCCGCAAATGGACTTGTTTTGCCATCTTACTGCTCCTCATTATCGTCTTAATTATACTTCTCCCCATTCTTCTCAGAAACTGACGCCGCCTTCACCTTCGCAAGTATATCAAGAGATTAGAGAGACTCTGTTCTGGTCGTGTGCATATTTTGGTTTTATCCAACTGTCGTCATTATGGTGATTTTGCTCCTTCCTTGTTTTTGTTTTTTTTTTTTAGCTGTGTTTTCTTCTTGATCAACCGCTGCATGCTCTTTTCTTCGATTTCTTCCTTTGCGAACAGAACGTTTGTTGAATATACGATCCATCATCCATGGTTCGGAGCAATAACCATACACGATACTTGAGAGTGGTAATGTACCTCTTTGAACGCGGTTGGGACTAATATCAATAGACAATCATCAGGATCAATCAATGTTTCGCGATCGTCGTTATGCTCCCTCTCGTACTTAAGAATTGTTTTGATCCTATAAATAATTTATATCATTAAATTTTTATCATAATTTTTTTTATCTTTCATTAAATATTAGAAAAAAAATATGTTATTAAAATATATATATTTAATAAGAGTAAAGTTGAGAATTTATTAAATTTTAATATAGAATTAATGAGTTTTAAGAATTTTTTAATACTGATAAAATATGTTAAAAGTAACTTATAAATATGATTAGAGAAATACCTTTTAATGTCTCCTTAACTTTATATAATCATATCCTCCATTTAATTTTTTTTATTTAATTTAATGAACATTCATTTTTCCATTTTTATTATTAATTAAATATTTTTAAAAATAAGATAATGCTTTTTTATGGCAGTGATTAAATTAATAATATATTTATTTTAAAAAAGAAACTTATGTACTTAATTTTATGCATTTAAGTGTTAAATACATTAAAGGCATTTGTCCCAATCAAGCCAATATATTGTAGAATATTTATAAATGATTTATTCTAGAATGGTTTTTTTTATTAATATTGTTAACACTCTAAAATTCATTTATTTTTATTTAATTTGATATAAAATTATATTAAATGCACGAGATTAATTAAATATAAAACCATTCCTCGTGGTTTAACATTAAACTAGTATACTTCCAAATAATATCATCATCGACGCTCTAATTAATTTGATAGAGTGAGCATGGAAACTTAAGGCTGAATTAGATAGCATAAAGACAAGGGAATTCGTCCTTTCAAATTAAAAATCTTTAAATTTTATGAAGTTTATATTTTTAATAAAGAAATAGAAGATTTTTTTTTATTTATAAAAACTTGTGTGTGTGTGTGAGGAAAACTTCAAGACAGTTCATGAATATTAACTTTAGGGATTCGCTCCCTAAAGAAAAATATATTTAACAATTTTTATGTGAATATAATTTAACAAATTTGTATGGCTCACTCCGTTTTATATAATATTTTTTTAATGTCTATTGTAAAGATTTTTCAATTAGCTTACTAGAATTAATGAATGATAATTAATTCATTAAATAGGTTTTAAAATAATTTTTTTAACTTTACTCTTATTAAAAATATAAAAAAAAAAAAGAGATCCAAATGATACGACGAGTCCTAAAATCAAATTTATAAATAAAATTAAAAAATATAATAAATAATTTTACATATATTTTATATTAATTATTAAAAAATCCTTCTACAAAATGTAAGCACAGAAGGAAGTGCCTACCATATAGTATTCTTGCATTAGCTAACTGATCTTGAGAAGTCATTCAAATAGTTTCCAATGTCACTGCCAAATTAAATAAAAAGCACATTTCCTTCCTTCCTTCCTTCTTTCTTTCCTAGAATAAAAGGCACATTTCTATTAATTCTGTAATTATTAAAGGGAAACACTTGGTCAACAAATATCGGTAAAAATGCGATTCAGACCCAAATTTCATTGCTGATGTGAGGGATTTATGAATACATAATCAATTTACAAATATTAACAAAAAAAAAAAAGAACCAATTTTAGACGTCTGCGTGTGTTGGTGTTACCGGTGAAGGGGTAGTTAACCGGTAGCAGGACAATATAAAGCAGGCGTAGCGAAGCAAAATGGACTTCTTGGCATTCCATTGCGAGAAAATCGTAAGCTCAGGGGAGGCATGGCGACTATTCGAATGATAGGTAAGTCGCTACGTAAACTAATTGATTTGCAGATTCACTTGTCACGATTAATCCTCAGAGTTTTAACTAATCCTCTCTCGTACAACCGATGCAGATATAGCTGTCAACTTCACAGGTCTGGCATTTTATCAAATAGTTGTTGGGCGTTTTTAGTACACTCCGTGTTTGTTACCCATAGTCTAGTTTAGTCATTTTAAACATCAAGATTCTCCAACAGATGGAATGTTTAAAGGAATCTACAATGGCAAGCAATGTCACGTCTCAGATATTGCAACGGTTTTAAACAGAGCTTGGAGTGCAGGGGTCGACCGAATTATAGTACACCATATCCTGATTCTCATCCTTTATCTCCAATTTATGCGGATTAATCCAATATTAGCTTTAACTTTGTGTCTAATTTGTTTACTAAGTTGTGAGATGCAAAAGGATGTAACTTTAGCTGGTAGACAAGGCTGGGCAAGTTAAGCAAAGAGATGAAACCCTGAATTTAGAAAGTAGATTTTCTTTTAAGGTTCGATTAGGAATCTTTGTTGCCGATATCTTCTTCGTTTGGAGGATTATTTAGCCTTGAATTGGGATATTTGTGAATCCCAGAAATAGTTAAGCTTTAAGTTTAAGCGATCTTTCGTCTTTGGGGATCCATTAAAGCATGAATTTTGACTTCTGAGACATTGAGATGCTTAAGGCTTTCAAAGCTATAACCACAGATTCAAATGCTGTAATTGAAAAGGGGGAGGAAGAGAGTTTCTGTTGTAAATTATTATATGTTTGTCGAAAATCCCTCAAATGTGTGAATTCCTTGCACAGTGACAGATTATTATGGACTCACTTCCTAGCACCAATGAGAATTCCTCAAAAATGAAACCTACAAACATGGAAAATTGACACGGATAAGGATAAGAAAACTGGTGGAAAAGAAGTTTGAAGAATTCTTCATTCTAGTCTCTCTGAATGTTTCCACCAGCTAAAGTTATATTATTTGCTTTGAGTCAAATTTTCCAGTATCAGCCTCAATGCAGGAAACCTTAATGCAATTGACTAAGTAGAATCTCACGTTCCTTTTGACGACACTCTATACCAACAAATCCCGACAGAGGAAAAATGTCAGAAGTCCCTAAAAAGCAAACAAGAGGAATGTGATCGCTATTGATATGTTATTCTTGCATATGATATGTTTAATGGACATAAATTTGATCTGATAAAATGTAACCCGTTTTAGTGTGTGGACTTGGTTTATTGCAGGTAACTGGTGGATCCCTTGAGGAATCAAGAGAAGCTCTTGCAATTGCAGAAACAGATGGTTTGTTTATATTACCTTACTTTCTCGTCCATATAGACTTTAAAATGCAAGATTTGCCTCTTCAGCCATTTAATGATTAATTAGTTTAATATAGGACGGCTTTTCTGCACAGTTGGTGTGCATCCAACACGCTGTAAGGTTGGTTTCCTCCTTCAGAAAATTTCTCTGGATGGGTGCTTTGAGTTGAAGTGTTTTTAAATGGCTTGGTGTTTTGGTTCAGGAATTTGAGGAGAGCGGAGATCCAGAAAAGCATTTTCGGGCTCTTTTGTCACTGGCTAAAGAAGGAATTCAGAAAGGGAAGGTATGCTTGTAATCTGAAGATAAAACACATTATTTCCTGCCATGACTTTTTCCTAAATAATAATAACGGTTTCTTCTTTTGTAAGGTGGTTGCAGTTGGAGAATGTGGATTAGACTATGATAGGCTTCACTTTTGTCCGGCAGAGATTCAAAAGAAGTATGCAATCGTAGCATAACTCTTTTGGATAGATTGGTTCTTTTATCTTCGTATTGTTTACTTATCAATAGCATCCATCTTATTGATTATTTTCTTTATTGTGAAAACTAGGTATTTCGAGAAGCAGTTTGAATTAGCACATATAACAAAACTGCCAATGTTCTTGCACATGCGAGCAGCCGCTGCAGATTTCTGTGAATTAGTTGAGAGAAATAGGGAAAGGTGTCATTGCCAGGGCATGCTATTTTATAGTCAGATAACCAAGCGATAAAGTTTTAATGTGTATATTGTTTGAGTTATATATTCTTTTAGTTGCTCGAAAAGATAGGACCTTTTTTCTTCAACGTAAAAGAAAATGATGGAGAATTACATAGGAATTACGTTGCCAGCATATGAAAAAAACATCACACTCATTTTCATTACTAGCCACATATTATAAAAATCCACACATGAAATTTTAACATAAAAATTGAATGTGTCTCAACTGTTTGTAGTTGTTAGCATCAAGACTTGAGGAATTTAAATGGACTTTATCAATGCCATTTATATGACAGGTTCGCTGCTGGAGTGATTCATTCATTTACTGGTAGTGCCGAAGATTGTGTTAAACTTCTCTCATTTGATAATATGTACATAGGTAAATCACTCCGTTCAACATCAGAAGCTTTTATTTTATCTGGCAGGTTACCAGAAAATGAGTTATCTCAAGAATATATGTAATATATGAAAATACAAAATTAAAAGCAAAAGCGAGTGAAACCAATATTTAGGCTTGCTTCATAGTTGAACTGATTGAACTGGTTGGTGCCATCCATTTTTAAGAACAATGACAGTTAGCGGATCTTGGTTGCAGCTGCTGGCAATGGCTTTTCCTTTGTGCATATACTGCTCTAAAAATCAACTGATGTGTTGCCTATCTTATTTTTGTCTTTTTTTTTTTGGGGGGGGGGGTGGGGGTGGGGGGCAGGTTTCTTAGCTAATTGACATGCCTAAATTTGTTATTTCAGATCTAGGACTACCATAACTAACTGCTAACAGTCTAGTTGTCTCTCGCTAATGGTGTGGTATGCTTGTGGTACTATGACAGGCATAAATGGCTGTTCGTTGAAGACGGCTGAGAACCTTCATGTAGTAAAGGGTATTCCTGTTGAGAGAATGATGATTGAAACAGACTCACCATACTGTGAAATCAAGAACACGCATGCAGGGATTGGGTTTGTTAAATCTACATGGCCTTCTAAACAGAAAGAGAAGTATGATCAAGAATGCATTGTCAAAGGCCGGAATGAACCCTGTTCAGTTAGGTAATTGAAATGATTTTGCTCATGCTGAATTGATGTCAACCTCTAAATTGATTGACTGGTGCATGGTAAATGTAGTTGAGGATATTGGAGCCTTCTAATTTTTAAACCAACGATTGGATATTACCCGACAAGTTTGGTCTCAGCTTTTGCAATTATTATCTACCTTAGACTTATGTGTGTTTAAAATTACGTACGGATTTACCTTTTTCTTTGAACAATGTGGTTATAATATGCCAGGCAAGTTCTTGAGGTGGTTGCTGGCTGTAAAGGCATCAACGACTTGGGTAAACTTGGTGAAACAGTGTACCACAACACATGCAGGTAACGCAGTTTCCATCTTGAGCTTGTCCATTGTTGATGGAAATTTTCAGCGGTCAATTGTGAAAGCAGATCCTAAATTAAATTTTATATTAATGGATGAGCACGTCTTTCGAAGTAAAGAATGTATTTACATCGGGAGAATTATGTAAATAGCATGTAGGGGGGATGGAAAAACGGCAAACTCGGTTAAACCGGGTCTGCCTTGATTGAATTTCTCTGACACAAACCCACAGCGTCACATGTTAGAACCGAACTATGTTGTGCGGACGTTATGAATCAGTTACAGTCAAATGTGAGTGTACATAGGAAAATGGATTCTGTTAGGAACTCTGCTGCACGCTTGATATAATTCAATACCGTTATTTTTATCGAATATGTATCTATTTTATTTTCTTTATGCACTTAAGTTAAAGACCAGAAGGCATGCAACTCCCTTAAACAGTCTATTCGTATAGGATATAGTCATAATTGGACGGCTGCTTTGAATGGGTTAACACAGAATCTGGAAAATTTACAAGTTTATTCGATTTGCAGGGTGTTTTTCCCCCATGACCTGGATTCAGCGGCCGATGCTCTCCTGGCCGACGGTGATACGTCATAGACAAACTTCTAGCCAACTTTACTCCTATTGATTCCTGTACTTGCCTTTTTGGTTCTCTAATCCTTCATTTTTTGTCATAACATTTTTTGAGTTGTTCTTCAAGTGCAAGTGGACTTCAAGTATCGTCCCTTCTGTCACAACGTTACTGTTACACACACCAAGAAGCGATTACCCAGAAAGCAGTCTCATGAACGACAGATTAGTATTACTGTTCAGGGTCACTATGATCGTTTTGCTTTTCATGGTGCAATGCAAATCAATCTGTTCCCCACCCCCCGTTTATTGTCATGAGCAATGATAATTGTCTCCCTTATTACTGGCAATAAATTAAAAAGATTACTACGCTGCAAACCTGTACATGGCTTCGCAGTTTTGTGCTGTTACTTCTTTGTTCTATGTTTGTCTTAAGTTTTACCTCGTGCATATCACTATCTCCGTTCTTTACAGACAAAACCCAGAGGATTTTCTAATGAGTTGGAACGTGGTTAAAGGAGGTAACGTGATATAACTGAACCAACTACGAATACACATTTGAATACATACATGCATGCATGCATGCATGCATACATACATATATGATGGCATTGCATAGAATTCAAGCGTTATCATTACCCCGTGATGTTTCAAAACCTCACCACAAGTGACATAAAATCCTTGTCGAACTTCCATGACTATGATACTATGAATTGAAAATCCTTATTCAAACGCGCTTTTTAACTTTGTCTTGAGAGGAGTGAATAAAAGATCTAACTGATTCGCACATCAAACCTACCACATGACTCTATTATTAGGATTCTTAACAGACCAGTGATGAAGTGTTGGGACCCTTGGCATGCTGACATGTTTTGGTATTAATTTTTGCATGGTTTTTTGATGGCCTTGTATTGTATTAAAAATCTCAAGAAAAAGAAACCATGCATTTAATTTAACATGAATTTCTTGATAAATATATTGAGCAGCCGTTCTAAACATACACCCCACAACCGCCGGGTCGTGTAGTTAGTATTATACCAATTTGACCAATAAATAACTGGAAACGGAGGACCAGAAGGGGAAAAATCCTCATGTGCTGACGCTAGACACCAATTCCGAGCTATCAACATTACCTTGTGCAGTTTCATCCATTGATGGAGGAGATACACTTGTCCTATCTGCAGCCAAATTCAGTCTCAAAGCCCTGCCTTGAACCTCCTGAAAAACATTACATTGGCAAACAAAGTGGTTATACTAACCAGAAGATTTGGCAGCAAAACCAACCAAGCCACCATGATTGTTCTTACCACACCATTCATAGCGTTCAAAGCAGCCTCAACGTCCTCAGCAGTTTCAAAAGAGACAAACCCAAAGCCTCGAGATCTTCCGGTGTCCCTTTCATAGATGACCTTGGCACTCAAAAAGCCTGGCTGACCAGCAAATGCATCTCTCAGACCCTGTGAAGTCAATCCCCAACCAAGGTTTCCAGCATATATCTTGTGAGGACTGTCCACGAAGCCTCTGTAGTTATTCCTCACTTTTGGCCCCATCACTAGTCTTTCGCCTCCTCTTGGCACTTCTGGGAAGTTTACCTTCACCGTCCTACCTCCAACTTGCTGCACATCACCACAGTCACATCCATTCAAATTTGCATTAAACTTTGCGTTAACACATGTAAGACTTGAACAAAGAGAAGAAAATGAATACATTATGGATGATTATGACTGAAAATTACGAGAAAAATCCTTCACTTGAAGGATACACAACAAACCCCCAATATATTTTGAGGTGAAACACATGAAGTGAGGACTTTTGTTAACCTCCCTCTTTAGATAAGATTCTAACTCTTTACCACTAGCATAACGTGATACCTTTTATATAGATTTTAGGGTCACAACTAACTAAGATTAACAATAATCACCTTGATTCATCCAACACTTTGAACACTTGTAAACTTAACATAATTACAAGGAAACCTTTTTTTATCGTGGTCTTCATAAGCCCTTTGATGAACAGTTCTCAGGTCTAGATGATATTTCAAATTGCTCATTCAACATACACTTCCAATTGAAGCTTATGTCAATAGTTCATTTAAGATCTGTACGTATTGAATTCGGTACGAGTAAGTGCGTGTGAAACTTACGGAGCCATCAAACATCCGAATGGCTTCTTTAGCATCCTCAGCACTTCCCATTGTGACAAATGCAAATCCTCTGCTTCTATCCGTGACGCGATCGTATACTATCTATAGAATTCAATAATACAAAATAAGGGGAATCCATACGTTGACTACTATATACATTTAAATAACACAATAGCTTGGAATTTTGAAATCAAACAGGAAATGTAGAGCAGGCATTATTGAAAGAAAGGAGGGAATAAATTGCAAACCTCTACAGACACCACATTGCCAGCCTCTTGAAAAATCTCAGACAAATGGGAAGAAGTCATTGAAAAGGGCAAATTTCCCACATAGAGCCTCCCAGCTTCGTTCGAGTCTGATACCTTTTGGTCATCCTCGTCTTGTTCTGATTTTTCAGAGGGTTCTGGTTCTTCCTGCTCAGCGCCTGTGCTGTCTTCAGCGACTTCGAATCCGTCGAAGGCAGCGGAAGCCAAACGAAGATGATAGAGCGAGAGAGTAGAGGAATTGAGGAGGTGGGGTTTGAGATTGAGGGTGGGAGGTTTATGAGAAAAGGGTCTGAAAGGGAATTTGAGGGTGATTGAGAAGGAAGAGGGAGTGACGTAGAGGCTATGGAGTCGATTGCAGACGGAAGAGGAAGCAGTGGCTGCAGCAGCCATGGAGGGGGGGGGAGAGAGGGGGAGAGAGAGAGAGGAAATGGCTGAAACTGTGAAGAAGTGAAATGGCAGAGAGAGTAGAGATTAAAAGTCAGGCATAGGAATTGAACAAGGCACACAAATGAAGGAGAAGCAGCGTTGAGGCTTTCCAATTGAGCGGGGAGAAGGATAAGGTAGCTCGCTTTCGGATTTTTTTTCTCTCTCATTACCTCCTCTCTCTCTCTCAGAAAATTTTGACCTGATAAATTCTACTGGACGTCCGGACCCACATCATATATCTCCCCCCCCCCCCCCCCCAAAAAAAAAAATCCCACTCATTGCCACTATGGAAGGATGTAATCATGTTCTTGAATCCAATGTGGAAAGTCATGCGTTTAACCTAAGCCAGGAAAATGGATCAGCATCCGATGGGCTGACCCGTTCAGAGTTCAGACCGTAAAAATATGAGAACCAGATCTCAAAAATGCCATATTTTGAAGTGTTCGGACTTTTGGGCTCGATCCTACAAGGCCTTAAAAAAATATAAATAAAAAGATCACCTTGCATGGTGTTAGAACTCAATTGGAATTAGGAGGGGAAGGGATCACAATTTCACAGGCCGCATGGTTCTTCGGGAGATTCTTAATAGGATAAAAAATAAAAATACTCACAAAGTGATCAATAAAAATATCAATATTTTAAAATTAAAAAAATGATAAAAAATTTCATAACGTTACATAAATGAGTGTAAAAATGATCAAACCGTTAACTTTGATATAATACTATTAATTTTGACCGTTTAAATACTGATTATGCATGCCACGTGTCAGTTTTTGTTGATATAGACCAATATGAGAGCAAAAATATTCATAAAGTCATCGATCAAAAGCAAAAATACCCATAACGTTATCAGAATTCGTACAAAAGTGATCAATCCAACAAACTCTTTAAATGTTGACCATTTAGTTGACACTTAAACAGAAGTTAACAATTTTTTTGTTGTTGATGTAGACAAAATATTCTTAAATGAATTTCTACAAATATTCATCGATCATCGCATGAGTATCTATAATGTTGCTCTAGTAAATGCAATAGTGACCAATCCATTAAAATTCATACCATGTGATTTCTTTCCACCGTCACGTACTTCACCCCAATCCTTCCTTCCTTCTTCTTCACTCATTTTTCTTGTCTACAAAATCTCAAATCCAACATAGTGAGATAAATTGTACACAATCGAAGATCGAGACTAAGTACACCTCCTATGCTACCCTACCTTAAAAATATTGTCACAACCTTAAATAATTTCATTCATAATAAGTTGAAAATTTTTAAATGTTCGCCACTGCTGTAATAAAACAAGCAATTTAATTTGATATTTGGTGAAAATGACAATTTTTTCACATAATATTCATACAATGATCAATTAACTTCTAGAGAATTTCGTCTGAAAATATTTTTTCCATGTTAGCAAAAAAATGATCAACTTCTGCTTAGGTGTTAATTAAACGATTTACATTTAAAAAATTTAATGGATTGGTTACTTTTGCACCAACTCTGATAACGTTATGAGTATTGTTGCTCTTAGCTAATGATTTCGTAGATATTTTTGCCCCTTTATTAGTCCATGTAAGCAAAAACTAACGCATGACATGCATGGTCAGCATTTAACAGTCAAAGTTAATGGTTTAGTTACTTTTACACCCACTCATATAACATTATGGGTATTTTTTTTCTCACTTTATGATATTGGATGCCCCTGACTAATTATTTTGTAAGTATTTTTGTTTTTTTTACCTTTAAGTGGAACTGGGAAGTTAAAATTCAATCTGTATGTAGAGTCCAATGATAGGCAAGCTGGCTAAAGAAGTAGAGAAGGCCTTTATTATTCCTCCTTGTTTGAGGCGGCTCTTAATTTCTTGAGGAGTTTAGTATCCTCTGATAATTTAGAATTCCAATCCCCAAGGTATAATTTATCTTTGATATACTGAGATTAGCCCTCTTATTTATTTAAAAAAAAAAACTCAATTCGAGTTAACACGTCAAACTAATTAATTAGTAAACTAGTCCTTTAGCTAGTTTGATTAAGAGTTTTGGACAATGTCACTCGGTTTGAATTTTATTTTTATTCTTTTCCCTCCTTGTTGAACTTGAAACAACATTGTATTGAATTTTTAAAAATAGCTGTCTGTCATATTTGTGATTTAGTAACCATCTTTTTTGCCAGATTATGTATGATTTATACATGATTATTTGATTTACTCATGAGTTAATAATTTTTATTTAATATTACTCTTCTTTTGGTATGACAGATTCTATATTTTTAATTAGATTATATTATTTTAATTATGAATGCATTGATCTCGATTCAATTATGATTGGACCATCTACTCTAAACCAGTATCTTGACTAGTTAAATGACTGATTTGATTTTTAATACCTTGTCATCCTATTTTATTTTTTAAAATTGTTTTCTTTTATATTTGATATTTAAGAAAAAGTAGAGCAAAACAATGACTTCAGAATTTTGTCACAAACACTTTGTTCTCACTTTCGTTTTTCTTCTCCCTGAAATCACATCCTGCACCAACACAATAAGCACAAAAAATAACGCAAGCGGACAAATTCTTAAATAAATGTGATACATCAAATTATCCGGATCCATCCAATAAAAATTAAAATTCAATCAAAAAAAATTATATGCTATTATTTTTAATGACTTTATTTTTCCTAATAAAATGAATATTTAAATTTTTATTTTTCTCTCTACAATTATTAATATCAAAATCAACTTACATTTAATTCATATAAATATTACATTTTTATTAGATAGATCATGAATTATATGGTGCACCAAATTTGCCTAAAAATTTCTCACCACAAGAATTTGCTAGAGAAAGTTTTCCTTCTAGAAAGAATAAAGTCGTCACCATTATAAGATATTATCTAAATCTGTTTATAGTAATAAAAATTTACTTTTAAGAAATCAAAAAAATGAAAAATAAAACTATTTTAAAGGCACTTTTTAGATAGAGTCGCAGCACATTGTCCTCAAAAGCGGAGTTGCTAATTCTAGAGAAACGATACAATGATACATATCGGGAGTCCGGGCAAATGTTTTATTTTGAAACAAACACCAAAGGTCAAGTTGTATGATACATGGATTCACAAAGTCAGGTCCGGACGAATAAAACACCACCACGCTTACATAATTAAGTTCCAAAGCACACGTGCAAACTAGAGTCATGAACACATTTTAAACAAACACACCCGCATAAAAGCTTACCCCCTTCCAGGATATCAAGTCATTAGCATGCGATGTGTAAACACGCCAAAGACGGTCAGGCCTGAGGGGAAAGGCAGACAGTAGTTCTATAGATAATAATAATGAGCCAAGGACGATTTGCCGTTAATTTTCATGAGCCAAGAATGATTTGCCTTCAAACCAGATGTCGGAGAGAGCCTCACAAACGAAACTCGCCACAGTAACCACAAAGGAAAACGCGACAAAGCTTCTCCATCTGGCTGGGGCAAGGATGGGGATTTGGTACAACGTTAGTGCACCAACCCCATTGTGTTTCCTTGCCAAATCAAACTTCAAGGCTGCAGCATTTACCTGGTGCTGCAACCCATTTGGCGGGCATAACTATGCCGCCACTGCCACTCTGATTATTCATCATGCCTGCAAGAGTGTGATGAACAGCTGGTCCAAGATAGTTGAACGTAAAGCCATGGTCAAGACCTCCCCTTGTATACATGCTAGTCACCTCTGACCCAGACATGTGCGGACTGCTTCCACTTGTTTCCTTTGATGATTGCAGCACTTCAGAGCTCTGAGAACCAGTAGACTGCAATTGACCATCCCCAGTTTTATTCCCTTCACTTCCAAATTTTGCATCGCTGTCATTCAAGTTCTTTGTGTTCAAGAAACGACCACCGCATCCTCTTGGTCGGCGCATTGCATGGAGATGGCGTGATTCATGCATATAAGGCTGCAAGACAAGGACGGCCATCAGGTGAAGACGAAAGGCATGTGATGCTTGATGATTAATATCAAGCAAATCCAAATCACTGTAACTATTTCTTGGTGATCAACTCATTGCTCAGCAACCTAACCATTCATGATTTGGTGAGACCATTCCACCCCGGCTATAGTGTTTCAAGGTCAAATTATGATAGTATAAGAGATTATACCTTACGACGTTTGGTCATTTTATTCTCCAGCACAGCCTTTGCTCGGGACTGCCGACGTCGGATGATTCCATGGTACTGCTTAGCATTAACATAAATCGGTCCATCATCAGATGCCATGTTAAGTGGCAGCATCATACGGCCCTGAATCATTACAGGTATATAAAACTTCGACTCAGGATTCAGAATTTAGCAGAAATCGTACATAGCACATTACCAAGAGGTAATTGAAAGCAAAAGAATAATGCAATATAAACTACAGTTTTTATGAGGATGAGCAAAATTACTACATTCTATTATATCTATTGAATTTACCCGCCTAGGCCTGGACAGTATGATAGCGCACCTCCCCCAACCCCACCCCAAAAAAAAAAAAAAAAAAAAAAGCGCGCGCGCGCGAAAAAAATAGAAGCAGAATCCAAGATCACAGTATATTTATATTAATACACAGTACATGCTAACCTTTGATCGATACAATATATTTGAAAAAAAAATAAAAATTACCATTTGAAGGACATTATATGAATTTTGAATACATACATTTTATTACTTGTGGGTGTGGAGATTTTATATAAATAAAATTCATGTAGATGGGCTTCCGCTTCAGAAAACTTGTTCATTATGATTTTTTTTGGGTAAATGGTCCGTGACAAGGGATTAAAGGATTTAAGAGGGGCGGATAAATTTTACTCATTAAATGAGTCCGGAGGTGGGAACTATATTGGCCCACCCATGATCATCCTTAATTCATATGAATGTCACTCAACTGAAAATCACGGCATTTCCTTTTTCCATTATTATCTTACTTTAGGTCAATAGTAATGAAAAAACATGCACTCAACTACACTTTTTTCGTTCAAAAAAAAAAAAAACTACACCTTTTTTGCCATGCACAGTCAAAATAGATATACTTCAGAGAATTATAAGAAAATGTACTCTCTCATTTATGGGTTGCCCAGTCAAACTAGATTATACTTTTGAGAATTACAAGGAAAATTGGCTCTCTCATATATGGCTACATCATGTTACTATGAATTGATAAAACAAATTTACCACGCAAGCATGTTAAAAGAATAGCATGGCTTATACAGATTAAGATGCTGATGGAGTAAGGACTGACCGGAATTTGAGGTCCATAAGTTGAGACGATCCCATAAAAATGATCCATATAAGGATACTTTGCGCAGATCTACAATGTAAAAGAGTGGCAAAGAAATGGAAAATCTGGCCAGAAATTAAAATAATAAAGCATCAAAGGGGTCATTTTGTGAGGAATTTTACCACAGGCTGATTGATTCCTAGCTCAACATGAGCGCGCGGATCAGGAATTGATGACTGAAGTGATATGCCAGTCTGAGACTTCTGATCACCTGACATTTTACAATCATCTAAAGAAAAATATTTGACTAGTTAATCACAGGTGGACTTAAGTGACAAGGCAAGAATTCTCACTTGATAATTTAGAAAAAGAATTGCCACTCTCTGAAATAGGTTGAAGCAACCAAAAACTCAATTGGAGCATAATTCTAGATTCCAACCTTACGCCCATAATCATTAAGAAAGATCTTATCCACTATGTTTGCAGTCAGCAGGTGGAAATAAAAGAATACTCCTGTTTGATCTGCTCATTGAGAGCTAATAAATAGAACTTCCTGATGACTAGATTACCAGAACCTTGTCTTTATGCGACTTTCAAGTCAGTAAAAGATAGAGGCAGGGGCGAGGAAGAGGGAGATTACAATATTTATTCTCTCTTTTTGCAGAGTTCAAGTCCAATGAAAGTATCCAATTGATACAAGCCTCTTTCCCAAAAACGTCTCAATCATTACACTCTTTCAACCCATCTGTAAACAATATAGATACACTCATGCATCAAATTAGTTTCACCTAACGCTCTGTCAATGTGTTAAATAATAAGGATTCAACGGGACTTGAATTTCATTTAAGGCAGAGAGAATCCTAAAACAAATATGCCTTTCCTTAGTTGAAGTGATGCTACTAAATGCATTTACTTCCTCCCGAAGCATATCAGCAACTGAAGACCATGATAAAGGAAACCTCCTATGAGGTAACAGCAGAAGAACGTTTCCTCAAGTACTTAAATCAAGTCTCCGACTATTGCAATGCTCAAATCAGCACTGCCATGTGGCCCTGGTAAAGAGCCAATCATTCTAAACAAGCTTCGCTGTAATCATGTCGTTCTTTCTAGAATGCTTGTGTTTCGTTTTAATTTGGGAGGAAAGGGGGGTGGGAGATTGCCCAGGCGCATTAAGAGAAGGCATTTGCTATTAAACTGGCGTTAAGACCTCAAATTTACTTTTTTTGTAAGCTAACTCGGCAATTCAAAGTGGGCAGGTAGGACTGTAAGAAATGGGAAGTATATCAGAACAAAAAATGAGATCTGGCGAAACAGAGTGCTACTTCTGTATGGAGGACGATAAGCCATGACCCATCACACGCCTCATCTTTTATGGAATTTAACTCAATAAATAGGAAGACAATATTAAGTAATCGATAAGGAGTAGGCCAACCCCATCTCCAGCGGGCTATTAAAAATTTCTGAGACAAACAAAGTGCACCATATACGTCTTATCTACCCTAGGCAACCTCACATGAAATTTACTATATCAGAAAATTTCGGCAGGAGGATGAATGGGAACTTGCTGGTCATGTCCTTTTTTTGAAGTCACAAAGCTCCTAAAATTCAGTCACACACTGGGAGATAGGTCCAAATTTTGAATTAAAGTAGAAGATTACCTGAAAAGATAGCGAGCTCAGTGGTGTTTCCTTTATCAAACACTTGTTCAGCTCCTCTTCCCGCTTGCTTAGTGGCAACAAGTTGGTCTACATGGCTGGGAATCTCCAGCGAAAAAGCTTTCATTTGGCCACAAGACTCGCCAAAAATTGTTTGGGACCCTAACGTACTCCACCACGGGGCCGAAGTTACAGATGACATATGCCCAGCGGAATTGTGGGTAGCTCCTTGAGCTTCTTTGAAATAAACAGTTTGCATGGTCAAATACACACCCCAATATGATCCAGATGACGATTTATCTTATTTCTGGAAACTATTTCCTGCAAGAAAAGATTTAACTCTAAAAACCACCAGTATATTTGAGCAAGTGAAAATATGCAGGGAAACTCGTTAAATAATTTTCACAAATGAATCCAAAAAGAACAATTAAAGAGGGGGAAGGGGAGAAGGAAGTGGAACTTCAACAAAGGGAGGGGGGGAGCACGCACACACTGTTTGACCTTGGGAATATCTAGTCTTCAACAGTAGCGTCCGTTCAAGCCTAACTGAATCAAAAAGCGATACATTAGAACAGAAAATCTACAGTTTATTAATCTAGAGAATGATGTTCGCAGAAGGCTACAACAAGAAACAGTTCAGAACTTAAAAATGGAAGAGAAGCAGCAGAAAACAGCGGATGCGGCCGCAAGAGACCATAAATCACAGGTGAAGAAATACAGAGAAGCACGAAGAAGAAGAAGAAAACCTCGGAAGTGTGAGATGGATAAGAGCCATAAATCGAAAGAAGAGGGAAGAAGAGAAGACTCACATGCGAGACAGAGCATGAAAATCAAGAGAAAAGAAGAGTTACCCCATTAGGTTGGAACCATGTCGGTAGAATGAGAAGCAGAAGCACACGAGCTCCGAAAAAGAAGCGTTGGAATCGAAGGAAGACGGCCGATAAAAGCGTCCCAGTCTAGCGGAAGTAGACGCCAACCCCCAATGGTCTTCAGTGTCAATGAACGCTCTTCCTTATGACTGCGCCACCCTCGCTCTCTCCTTATTTATGTTCCATTTATCATTTCTGTCCTCACTCCTCAGTCGTGACTCCCAACTTTCTCTCACTTCGTTTCTCGCTCCCACTTTCAATAATCCAAAATTTTTTGTATCCAACTAAATAATCCAAAAGTTTCCGCTACTTTTTCATTTCTTAACCATACCATGTACTATTATATTTATATATTTCAGATACTATAATGAAAATATATTTTATCTGATTTTAAATTTTAAATACTATTCTTTATGTTTTGTAATTTTATTGTTGATGCAATAATAATAAAAAATTAGCATAAAATTATCACTTTATTTTTTATGCAATAATAAAATCATGAGCAGTTTTGAAATGCTAATATTATATAGAAGATTATATTTTTACGGGTAAAATAAATTGAACGTGGGTAATAAAAAATATGAAATGAAATTTAATAAGACCTGGCACTGGTTTATGTGTTTTGGCTTCATACCCAAAAGAATCGTATACAGATACAAGATGTTTCGACATTATAATTAGCAGAGCAGCAGCCCGCAGAGGAGCCAACTACATACACTACATGGCACTGTATGGAGGTATCTTTATTTGTAGGTAATATGTCTGTTAGCTGCTTACTTAATAAAATGTTTAAATAAATAATTGTTAGTGGGTTTTATATATCTGCGAATTTCATTATATATATATATATATATATAATTGGTCACCATATTTACATCATGCTTTTGAAAATCGAGTCAGCATGATGAGTTTAGTCATTAAATTATTAAATTAGTATCTTAAACAATTCAATTGAATATTTTGTTCATGATCGATCAAACCATTTTTTATCCTTACAACCGTTGGACTACTTTCTTGATCATGTTTAGTTTTCAATATCTTAGTTTGACTTAAATATCATATCAATGTAGACGTGGTATTGTTGGATTTTATATTAATAAAAGGATACGGTTTATAATATGGAATTGAATAATGAATGCAATGGGTGAGTGGAATATATTCTTTAGGAATTGGAATTTTTTCTGCATACCACACCTAATATCTTGAACTTGTCTTGCATCTAGCTAATGAGACTTTAACAAGATTCATAATAATTCAAATTGAGCTGGGTCGAGCTCTTTTTTATGGAAACTCTATCACTATTGCCGATACATTTCTGGAAATTAAACTCAATGTCTCTCATAAACCGGCATGAATCACTTATTAGTTAAGCGTGGGTTGCTTAGGAATTGGATTTTACTAGTGTTCACACAGTCTTAGGCTGAGCTGGCACGGCTCATCTTCTCGTGAGAGAGGTGGATAAGATCATAAGAATGCCCCCACAGATAATAATATATAATAACACTATTGAAGTGGGCTACTTGCATTTGAGCCAAGTCTGAAATAATTAACATAATATCGTTCACACCACAAAACTAGTGTACCCCTCTTTTTTTCAATGCATTTTTATATTAATATACATTGGTAACATGCATTCCGATTCCGCCTCTAACTAATCCATTCCTTCTGTTTTAAAATACAAGCAACTTGCTTCAAAGTTAACTGCTTTGCTCCCATTGAAGAAAAGCACTTGTTTCTATCTATCTCTTAAATTAAGCCTTTGGCGCCCTTTGATTAGAAAATTAACCCACTTGATGTCATCTATGGAATCAGCCCTGGGACTCATTTTTAGTTTGCTTTGCAGTACCCCTCGCCCAAGGATTTTATTTATAGTGTGCCCAATAATTAATACTTTTGTAGTGATTTTTTCATGTTTATTGAAATTTTTCATTTTAACTCCGCCTATATTTACAGCTATCCCAAGCTCGGATAAAGAAAAAAGGTTATGATAAGCCTTCAATAATAAATGTAGAACTTTATTAAATCTTACATCAATATGGACAATAGACACTTTTGCGCTAATGCTATGTTGTTTCTCATAAGTAACACACTACATGGCTCAAATACAGTGGCAAGTAAGTTAGAGTCGCTGCATTGGCATCTTGATGTAGTGTTAAAAAATAAGGGCTATTGTGTTATCTTGAACGAGCATGACTAAAAAATGTAGTCTATGTAAGTAAAATCAAATTTTGTACTTGGAATGTTGGAACCTTGAATCATAAATCTATGGAGGTGATAATAGTTATTATTCATAGAAAAATTAATACATTACACCTACATAAAACTAAATGACCATGTGAACAATCAAGAAATATTCAAGATTTCAAACTTTGGTATATAGGGAAAACAGACACATGCAATGGGATGGGTATTATTGTTGATAAGGAGTGGAAGAAGTCAAAATAATTGGAGACAAAATTATTTCCTTAAAAATAATTGTTGGACACGAGACTATCAATATTATTAACACTTATATATTTCAAGTCAAAGGCAGAAGCCGATATTAAGGAAATGTTTTGGGAAGACTTGGAGGGTTAACTTGACGCATACCATAAAGTGAAAAGAAATTATTAGAAGAGACTTTAATACATGTGTCAGAAGAGAGGAAGGTCATTGTGCGATGGTGCATGGTCATTTTAGTTTTGGGAAGCTAGACAATGGAGGACAATTTGTTCTTGTTTTATCCTTGGCATATGATTTCAAGTCAACACTTGTTTCAAGAAGAGGGATGAACATCACATCACTTATAAAAGTGGAGCCTTGAGGTCAAACATTCATTTATTTTTTGTAAGAAAGACTAATAAAAGACTTTATAAAAATTATAAAGTGATTTCTAGGGATGCCACAATGACACAACACAGGGTCCTTATTCTTGATGTGCTTATAATGAGTAAAAATAAAAAACATCAACAAGTGATAACTATGAGGATTAGGTGGTGACAGTTAAAAGATGAGAAGCAACAAATTTTCAAGCAAAATCTTTTGGCTAAAAGACTTTGAAAGTCTTGAGGAGGTGCTTGCATCTTGTGGGAGGATATGGCTAAAAGGTAAGAAAGGCTACTAAAGAAGTTTTGCGAGAATCAAAAAGTGTTGGTCTGAAAGATAAATAATCTTGATAACGGAATAATAATATAAAAGAAAAAATCAAACATAAGAAGGGGTATTTTAAAGCAATTAATTTGTGCAATAATGATGAAACTTAGGAAAGATATCTCATGGCTAAGAATGAAGCTAAGAAAGCTGTGAGTGAGATCATTTTTGAAGCATTTGAAAAGTCTTACAATGATTTTGAGATAAAAGATAGGGGATGAAAAATTTATAAAATTGCTAAGAATAGGGAAAGAAAATTAAGAGATATAGAATAGGTAAAGTGCATGAAGGATGAAGAGGAAAAGGTTTTGGTTACAATGGTGATATTAAAGACATGTAAGAGACCTACTTTTTTAAACTTTTCAATGACATATAGGATTTTTTTAGTAACTTGGAGGATTTAGTAACTTGTGAAGGAAAACAAAATTTGTCATTTTATTGAGAGATACGCAATAGTGAGGCAAAGGAAGCCCTTTAAAAATGATAAATAGTAGAGCCAATGGACATAACCATAACCCTATTGAAGTGTGAAAATGTTTAGATGAAAAAGGAATGTAGTGAATAACTAAATTATTTAATGAGATGTTATTCTCCAAGAAAATGCTTGACAATTGAAGGAGGAGAACCTTAATTCTATTCACATAAATAAAGGAGATATTTAAAATTGTGCTGATTATATAGGGATTAAACTTATGACTTATACAATGAAATTGTGAGAAAGAATGACTGAGCATATGTTGAGACTAGGGATCAATGTTTTTGACAATCAGTCTTGCCTTGTGCTAAGTAAGGTGACTACATAATTGATTTATCTACTAAGAGGATTATTGAAAAAGTATTGATGCAAGATAAAAATTTACACATAGTTTTCATTAATTCAAAAAAAGCTTATGATAGTATATTGAGAGAAGTACTTTGAAAAGCCTTGAAAAAGAATGAAATATGGGATGCTTATGTTAGAGTTATACAAAATATGTATGAGAAGGCAATAACTAACATAATAACGTCTCACATTGAAACAAAGGACTTTCCTATACGCATTGTACTACATCAGAGATCATCGTTAAGTTCTTAGTTTTTTGACCTAATCCTATATGTTTTAATTGAGCATATTCAAGAAAAAACTTCCAGGTGCATGCTTTTTAATGATGATATAATTTTTATTGTGGAGATAAGAGAAGAAATAAATTGTAAACTTAGGTCATGGAGGAAGACATTAGAGTTAAAAAGTTTTTACCTGAGTAGGAGTATTATAATTTTGATAACAAGTTAGTCAACAATAACTTGAAAGTGAAATTGGAAGATTGGATTGTACCTTAAGTGAAAATGTTTATACATTTGAAAGTTATTATTCAACATAATGGAAAAATTGACAAGAACATTGCATGTAAGATACAAGCTAGGTGGTCTAAATAGAGAGATGCTAAAAATAGTTATTTGAGATTATAAGGTATCTAATTAGCTTAAATGGATGTTTTATCAAATTATTATAGAACCAACTATGCTATATAGTAATAAATGTTAGGTGTTAATGGAACAATAAGAGCATAAAGTTAGAGTATCAGATATGAGAATGTTGATATGAATGTGCAGGCATACGCGTAAAAATAAAATTTGAAATGAGCACATGTGAGAAAAAGTGAGTGTAACACTTATTGAGAGAAAAATGGTAGAAAATTATTTGAGATGATTTGGACATGTATAAAGAAGACTAATAAATGCACTAGCAAGCAGAATAAAAAGAAAATTTTTAACCCTGTTAAGAAGAGTGTAGGCAAATTAAAGAACATTTATGGAAGTTATGACCAAAACTTCTTAATTAAGAATATTTATAAAAACTTGATAAATAATATAATACAATGATATTATATAATTTATATAGTTGATTCTATTTAATAAAATAAAGTTTCTTGTTGTTGTATAGGAATTTTTCTTTTGTTGGGCTACAAAAAGGGTATTTTCGTTTTCGACTTCATTGAATTTGTAATTCCGTTCCTTTGAATCTACCTAGAAAATGGTACTACAGTATTTTCCGGAGCGGAACAAGCAGAATTTAATTTTAACTAATTTGAAGGCCTATCCTTCCCTGACAAAGAAGTACTAGGAT